CATATTCAAACACGTTTTTTTATTTTGTGTGAACATCGAGGCCATCGCCGGCGAGGGTGAGAAGGAGGATAAGCGGCAACACAAATATGATGCCTCGCAAAAATAAAGAAGATGAACCTATTGTGGTCTTGGGTGATGGTTGTTGGGTTAAGAGTGTGTGTTATGTTTTCTCCCCCGTTGCAACGCACGGACTCTTTTGCTAGTTAACAAAAACCAAGTAACAAAGGACTCCCTCTGTAAAAAAAATGTAAGACGTTTTAGTTCACCGAGACCATCACAAAACTACATATACCGATGAAAAGAAGGTCTTTGGGACTGCCTGCAGATATGGGTGGTTGCGCGGAGAATTTGTTTTCTTTTGACGGAAGGCGCAATACGTGGGCTCTATAGGTAAAACCCCAAATGGCCAGTCTTTTTATTTTACATCAAATGGCCAAAGTCTTGATAGTGCTTGCTGTCCTCGTCACGGTATAGACGCGTCAACGCTGTTTGGAGCTACGAATCAACCTGTGGTTGAGTTGGTTAGGTGGACAGTGGTATCCTCAACCCACCAGGGTTCAAATCCTGGTGCTCGCATTATTTCTGGATTTATTTCAGGATTTCCGGCGATGCGCTTTCAGTGGGAGGAGACGTTCCCGTCGACGACGAGGCGCTTACGATGTGTCTGTACTGATGCTAAAAAAACACTGTTTGGAGCTGTGCAAGTTGGCTACTGGACGTGGTGACATGACTAAATCATTTGTTGCTGCTAATACCCCAGGTCAAATATTTAAGGCCTCTACATAGTGCCACTCCATTTGCTAGATGATATTCCTACTACATATAGAAGTACTTGTCCGATAGTTGCTGGGTGAACATAGACGGACGGTGCAGCGATATGTCAGCTGGTAGCGCAACGGCGCCCCGATCATTGTTCTTCCTGCTCAGCCTCGCCGCCGCCACCGGCGTCCTTCGAGTCCGTGGCCAGAGCACAGGTGTGGGTAACACATCGGCTGCTGGCATTGCACCAACTTTTATCTGCTGTTGTTTCGAACGCTAAATTAATCCATTTGGGGATATGCAGGTTTCGTCAGCATAGACTGCGGCCTCTCGGAGCAGAGCGGCTACGTGGACGATGTCACCAAGCTCCCCTACTCCTCGGACGCCGCCTTCACGGACGCCGGCTCCAGCCACAACGTCTCGGCAGAGCACGTCAAGCCGTCCTCCACCAAACGGTACCTCAGCGTGCGCAGCTTCCCCGACAACAGCATGGCCTCACGCAGCTGCTACACGTTCCCGTCCATCGTGCCGGGGTCCAAGTGCCTGCTCAGGGCCACCTTCATGTACGGCAACTACGATGGGCTCAACAAGCTACCCGTCTTCGACCTCTACCTCGATGTCAACTTCTGGAAGACGGTGAACATCTCCAAAGCCGACTCTGTGCATACCGCCGAGGTCATCGCCGTTATCCCGTCCGATACGGTGCAGGTTTGCCTGGTGAACATTGGCTTGGGGACGCCGTTTATCTCTGGGTTGGACCTGAGGCCTCTCAAGAATACGCTCTATCCGCAAGTGAACTCCTCGCAGGGACTGGTCCTTCTGGACAGGAGGAACTTTGGCGCGAGTGATATCATCGTTAGGTGAGTTTTTTTTACTCCTGCACCACTAACCATCTTGGTTTATTTAAGTACTTTTCTCGAAAAGCTATTTATAAGTGCATGGATTATTAATTGGTAAGGCTGTTTGTAATGGGTAGTATCATACTTTAGTATCATGTTGCACAGTATCATATACTAGTATCATAGGTAACCTTATTTATTGTCATGCATGACACATAGTAGCATAACATTTAATATGATACAGTATCATGATATGATACTCAACACTCTCTTTCTTCATTTAATTCTATGCCACCTCAGCAAAATAGTCTAGTTGGCATACATGATACTAGCTATGATACTATCCTTACAACCATCCTAAACCCTCTTACATCTTGAAATGGTTAGGCACCCGGATGATCCATATGACCGTGAATGGTTTCCGTGGAGCAACCTGAGCAAGTGGCGGGGGATCTCAACAAAGGAGAAGGTGAGGCTGAGGCCCGAGGATGAGGCCGATGTCCACTTCGACGCGCCATCCGTGGTGATGCAGACCGCCATCACGCCTCTCAATGCCTCGGAGAAAATCCACTTCTCATGGGATGCCGAGCCAAACAACGTATACCCCACGCCCCGGTATGCATTCTGGCCCAAACATTATACTCATAAACCAAAAGGTCACTTTGGTGGTGAACGGGTGCATTGGAGCCCTATGTTTTGAGTAGTGCCAAAATAATATTTTGAAGTTTCAGAAAATTCCAAGAACAGATCCACATGTTCATATGGATGTGTGTTACACACAAATGAAAAAAAAATGTGATTTTGGAAAGATAAACAGTGTTGTACATATGTTTACATAGCTCACATGTTTATTTATTTCATCACCATACTATACACTTGTGCAATATCCATCCATATGATCATGTAGAATTCTTTTCGGGATTTTATAAATTTTAATGTGATTTTTGAACTATTTAAAATAAAGTCCTCCAATGCACCCATGTTCCAAAAATCAACTCTCACTCATACGACTTCCTACAGTGAGGACTAGTACTCCCTCTGTTTTTTACTCTGCGTATAAAATTTGTCTAAAGTGATCAATTTTATAAGAAAAATATATCAATATTCACAATACGAAATTAATATCCGATTTGTATAACTTTAGGAGTGTATATGTCAATAGTTTGTACTAATATAAATTTGATCAAACTTTACAAAGTTTGACTTTAGACAAATCTTATATGCGGAGTACAAAAATTCATTTGTAGCACCATAGTACAAAGTTGTGGCTAGGATTTATTTCTTCTCAACTTTTTTGTTTGGCATGTTATGATACCTCGTTATAGCGTGATAATAGTACCCTCTCCTACATTGCTGTCACACTCACATGTCATACTTTTGCTTACGATGACAATACACGATACTTTTATGAAACTCGCACTATATAAGTGGTCTAAAACACAAAATAATATGGTTTACAATACTAACCCTTTGATGTGGGTGCTCTTACAGGTACACATCTGTCTTGTATTTCTCAGAGTTGGAGCGCAATGTCGTGCGCTTGTTCAGCGTGACCATCAATGGCATGCTTTTGATGTCCCGATACACGCCGCGGTACCTCTTCTCCTATGCCTTTTACGGCATAGAACATAGTTACTCCAGCCGGTACGACTTCACCATACAAGCAACGGCGACAAGCTCGACACTGCCGCCGATCATCAACGCCGCCGAGTTTTTCTCGGTAATCTCTACAGCCAAGTTCGGCACAGATCCTCAGGACGGTGAGTAGTCCAGTGCGTAGATCACCAAGAATTGCTTTATTCTTTATAAAGACCAAGAATTAGTACACCATTTTTAGTACTCCCTCCCGTCTAGGGTTTTTTTTCGAAAAGGGGGCTCCCCGGCCTCTGCATCAGCACGATGCATACGGCCACATTTATTAAATAATAAAAAGATTCAACAAGGTCTCAAAGTCTGCAGATAAAAGCAAAGGCTAGCTCACACAGAGCCTCAGAGCCAAAACAAAAAGCCCAGTAAGCCACAACCGGTAGACAAAATAAAAGATAGGTAAACTAATTGCTTATCCTATTACATGACCGTCATCCAAACCGGTTGAAGATATCCCGCGCTACCATCTCTCACCGGACAGATCCAGTAACCAAACGCTCCCTGGCCTCCGTCGGAATGAGTAAGGACCACATACAAATCAGTGCAGTAGCCCGGAATACAACCTGCAAAAAATGAATAGTTGTTTTTCTGTTAAAAGCCAAATCATTTCTGCAGTTCCAAATTGCCCATAACAACGCACATACTCCTACACGAATGTGTCTAGCTGTTTCGGACTCTATCCCAGCAAGCCACGCCCCGAATAACATGTTGACCGAAGTCGGAGGAGTAATGTTAAAGGCAATTTGAACAGAGCGCCACAACCCCCGTGCCAACGGGCAGTCAAAAAAGAGATGCTTGATAGTCTCGTCCCGATCACAGAAACTACACCTAGTAGAACCTGTCCAGATGCGCTTAACTAAATTGTCCTTTGTTAAGATTACTTGTTTATGCACAAACCACATAAACACTTTAATCTTCAAAGGGACCTTAACTTTCCAAACTTCTTTGGATGTAAAATGGGCACTTCCCGGCCTCTGCACCAACTAAGGATGCATACGGCCATTTTAGTATGCATACTCCCTCCGTCTAGGTGTGTAAGTTATCTTACAAAAACCAAATAATCTCAAAACACTCATGCGCGGTGCATTAGCTTCTACCTCGTTTCTTATTTATTGACATATCAATCAATAAGAGATGAGGGGTGCATGCTTTTAATGACTTGAGACTATCAAACACAATATGCAATGGTTAGTTCATTGCATGCAATGCTATTAATCAGCAAATAAACATTAATGTCTCTCGTTTTCCCTCTTCCTTGGTCACGGTGCACAACCTAAAATGACTTACTCACCTATTAAAACGAGATGATTTTCTAGATCCGATTAACCTTCCCGTCGACTTGTAATAAAAGAACCGCAAGCACAAGGGCGAATCCAGAATATGTTTTCAGTGGGGGCAAATTTATTGACAGGGATAATTCTTGCACAAAATTTAAAATATTCACTATTTCTAGGAAATTATATAGAAATTCTATTGCAATTTAAGAATCCGTATGGGGTTCTAGAATTCCACTAAGCATAACATTCAGTGCATGAATGAAAAGCAAAGATATGGTATCTCTACTCCCTCCGTCTAGGTGTAAGTCATCTTACCAAAATCAAATAATCCCAAAACACTTAGGCGTGGCGCATTAACTTCTACCTCGTTTATTGTTTTTTGACATATCAACCAATAAGAGATGAGGCGTGTGCATGTTTTTAATGACTTGAGACTACCAAACAATACATGCAGTGGTTAGTTCATTGTACGCAATGCTATTAATTAGCAAATAAACATTAAGGTCTCTCGGTTTTCCCTTCTTCTTGGTCACGGTGCATAACCTAAGATGACTTACTCACCTAGACGAGGGAGTAGTTGTTTTCATTTCGGACGCAACCATTAATGCCCCAAAACATCCTAGTTGTCTCTTGCCCAATCTCTGCCTCGGCCACAACTGCTTGTAATTAATTAGCCAAATAGTTAATTACGCATGTTAATTAGCAAGACACTAATTTATGGAAAAGTATAATCGAGCGTTGGATGGGAAAACCACTTTAATTATGAAGAGTGGCATTCTTTGGATGGGAGGATAACATTAATTATGGAAGTATCATCGAGCAATGGATTGGAGGATCACGTTAATTATGGAAAGTATCATCTAGAATATGTATGCCCTCATTACATGGCATGGGAAATTAGCAACTAAATCATTTTAAGGGAAACTTAGCGGCAATACTGCAGTTAGAGACACAACTCGATCGTGAAACACTAAAACATATCCTTCTCACCACCACCGTTCATCCATGCAGGCTATTTGATATTTATTGCTTTTAGATTATTTTTTTGTGTGTGAATCTTTTAGAATGTTATTCTTAAGCATAAGGCACATGAAGATTCTGATCCCCAAGGGAACCTCGATTTCCTTATGTCTCTGAAGGCACAACTAGTTGTAAGTACAAATATCTAACTGAAAACTTGTTATTATCCTTGATCTCTAATTCAGAATAGTATCCTATTTGCAATACACTTAACCGACTAAGTCTTTCAGTTGTTACCATTGCTCAGATGTCTAGCTCACCCTCAAAAGTCCTTAGCTGAGCGCATGACCTTCCGATTGAAAAGGGATGAACTATAACTTGCTTGATGGAAGTAAGGTTGCACAACCTAGAGAACCGTTGTGCCTAGGAAGCCCCTTGCAGCTAGCTATCCTCACATAACCTTGTCTTTGAAACATCATTAATCACTCTCTCAAAGTATTTTTGGAACATATATTTACTTCCAGTGATAATAGGAAGATATTCGACAAGAAGGCAGAAATATATCAATCTTTTAAAACCGCGGCAAAACTTTGTCATTTTCATTAATTAAGATAGAATAGCATATACGATGACAAATGGCCTTAGCCACATTACAACAAATTACTCCCAACATCATGGACTCTAGGTGTTTAGCCTCGGTAATAGACCATAGTTTTGCCTCACATTTGATAGCAAAGATAGCCAATGGCAAGGTAGAAACCTTTGAAAATACCCTAGTGTATCTTTCATTCAAAATATCCTACAAGGTGAGCATCATGAGAAAGTTCATGTCCTTCACAGGCTAACCGAAATGGTTAACCATCTCAAACATTTTTTTGCAGAGATGAAAGATTGCCAATTATGAGTGTCAAGGTCTTCACAACCTAACCAATCTTTCATCATATTCTTTTGGAGTAGAGACATTGAAAATGAATATGTACTGCCTACTTGGGGGGACACATCATAGTTGGCATACACACTATTTGGCCACCCTTGTCTTTTCCGATCTATCATTACTCCACACTATGTCATACTCCTTCCGTTCCTAAATATAAGTCTTTTTAGATATTCCAATATGGACTACATATGGAGCAAAATGAGTGAACCTACACTCTACAATATGTCTATATAAATCTGTATGTGGTCCATATTGGAAAATCTAAAAAGACTTATATTTAGAAGCGGAGGGAGTAGATGATTAGCCAAGCAAAGAATTTGCATATTATGATAGAGATACTTTCAAGAGAAGTATGATATCACACATGGCATTGTTCTTTATATAAGCCAGGGACCGCATGCATAGCTTTTTTTGACTAACTACTGCAAGGCAAGGCCACGCAATCTTTTATTACCAAACAAGAGCCAAGTTCAACTATACAAACTAGCAACTAAAAAAAGTAGTAGAGATAGAACTACCTACCTATTACAAGCCTCAAGGGAGGCCAGCCAACCAGGCTAAAAGCTTGGGTCTAATAGAAGCCTTAACCCTATGAGCTAGCAGAGAGATATCATGTACAAATTTACATTTCCAGACAACAAAATTGGTCCTTTCACCCCTAAAGGTCCTTCCATTCCTGAGTATTCAAATATTCCATGTTGCCGTGAAGATAACTTCAAAAAAGAAAGGTTGTGCAAACCTTCTGCTAGACAAAACAATGCACTGCTGGATATCAATTCCCCCATCCCATTCAATTTGCAAATAATTCCAGATCTTGGCACTAAAGTTGCATGAAAAGTGCAATTTGTCCTCATATGTATTCTGGCAACAAAGAACACATAGGTTGTCATCCTGTGGAGTCCTCCAGTGCCTCCTTACAAGTAAGTCCTTGGTATTTAGTCTGTCAAAGAACAATAACCATGCAAAGACTTTGATCTTGAGTGTACATCTGTTGGGCAGATGAGAATGCATGATGGTATAGTAGCTCTTAGCAGAATAACAACCTGATTTCCCAGTCCAGGACCATGTGTCAGCAACAGTGGAGTCCCTATGAACATCATCAATCCAGCTGGAAAGGAGATCAAGCTTCATAGCAGCCTCCTGTGAGATTGGGAGTTGGAAGTAGGTTGATCTGTCATGGCAATTGAAGAAATCCTAAGAAGAAATCTTGTCATCGGTGACAAAAGAGAATAACCTGGGTAACCTCGGCATCAAGGGCAATGTGGATCCACCAATTTCCCATGCATCAGACAAAAGGGTACAGAATCTCCCATATTAACAGTAGCCGATGTCACTGCTCTGTAATTATCATGTAGCTTAAACACATCCTTCCACCAGAATGAACCACATAGTATAGTTGCTTGAGGGACCACTCCATCATAGTAGGCATTGCAGAACAAAGATACCCAGGGTATGTCTTCTTTATTCATGCATAGCTTTGTTACAAAGCATTGTAATAGTTTGAGTACCACGTAAAAGTGACCCAAATAAAACAAGTAGTTCAAATAAACTTGGATGGGGCCAAAATTCAAACTAAACTGAATTGTGATTTTGAGATAAGAAAATAGTAACTCGTCAAATTATCCAAAACTTAGAATGCCCCTTTGTCATGCAGAGACAACTTCCATTTCAGAAAAAAGAATGCCCCTTTGTTTGGAGCCAATATTGAGATCTTATTAATATATGTTATGGTTTATGAGTATCTTGGTATAGACATGATATGATACTGACCCCGGTCATTCTTCACCTTGTATTTGGCGAAACAGTAATTGCCATCAATGCAATCAAGACAAAGTATCAGGTGAAGAAGAACTGGGTGAGTGACCCATGTGCCCCAAAGACTTTTGCTTGGGATGGTTTGAACTGCAGTTATCCCACTTCTAGTTCTCCCAGAATAACAAGCATGTAAGTTCAAATATAATTATTTGGAATGCGTAATGGACTTGTCAAACCATATGTCTCTTAGCTCTCTCGGTCACCCTTTGTATCTACAGAAATATGTCATTTGGTGGTTTGAGCGGTGATATATCATCTTATTTTGCCAATTTCAAAGCAATTCAACATTTGTAAGTATAAAGTCATTAATATTTTCCATACTGAATTTAGCAATGAATTTCATATGTTTTTCATAGCTACTTTGTGCACTTCTATTTCAGGGACTTGTCATACAATAAATTGACAGGATCAATTCCTTATGCCCTTACACAACTACCATCTCTGGTGGAGCTGTAAGCAATTCTCACCCGTGCTTGACATGGAATCTTTTCAGCTAGAAATATAAAATTAAATTGACTATTATTTACTATTATAATACTTTATCAAACATATTTATTATCAAACTTAATGATTAATTAACCTCATGAATAAGCATGCATGTTCAATATTGCCTTATGTATTATTATGTTATTTACAAGACGAACATATTAATCACCTGTATGCATTATTAGTTTGCAAAAGCAAATGATTAATCACTGATTTGTACAATAGTATATCGTTACACAGAACAACTTGTAGATTGCAAACCGGGCAATTGATTGTTTGCGTATGTATGTTGGCAAACCATATTAGACTAGTACATAACTTCAGTTGAGGCCACTATACCTGGAATCAAAGATCAGATTGTTAACCAGTCTATCATTTGTACAGGATATTAGACTAGTACATAACTTCAGTTGAGGCCACTATATCTTAGAGAATAGGTTTTTGCCATGCTTTACTGAAAAGCCAATGCGCCGAATGAGACAAGGTTTCAGGGTAACCCTCTTATAGAGCTGATAAAAAAAAGTAAGACAATACAAAACACTATTGGATGCCGACAGCTATATCTAGAAGTATAGATGTATATCAAGTCGGCTAGCGGTTTGTACATGGGTCGAATGATCGATTGTGCGTGATATTTGTACATACAATAAAAAAAACTTGGATCGAAAGCCAGTCACTTGTCATCTACTGGATTGGTTGCGCGTGCGCGAGGTTCAGAGATTTCGAGCATGCCAATTATGTGTACATCATGTTGAATTATTACAAGGAACCTTAACTAAAAAATTGCACGGACTAGAAGGCTGAAGGTCTGTGCATTTGTTGTCCAGTCGTTTTCTAAGTGATATTACATCAGTCAATATCCGGAGTTAAACTTCCGACCGCAACCCATCTAGTCGATCTTTGTACTAAGAGAATTTATGTACAATGGAAGCTAGTCGTTTGCATTTGATACTGGATCTGTAGGCAAAATTTAAGTTAAGATCATGAGCATGCCGAGCTGTTGTTTGTTAACTAATACTCCCTCTATATCATAGTGTCAAGAAATGTCTTATATTTTGATACAGAGGGAGTAGTAGGTTATGCCAATGCGCACGACATGGAAGTTCAAAACATGATCTTGCCAATCATGTGTATAGTCGATATGATACACTTTGCCGAATATTGTTTAGTATCTTAGAAATGATTATCAGTTGTGACCTACTAAGGGTAAGCAATCAGTGATCACATGATCTCTAAATACAACAATGAGGTTTGCACCGGTAACAAGGGCCTATCAGATGTTTGGTCAAATGTTTTGCTTTATTTTAGCATTTCGGTCTCATTGTTAGCTGCTTGGCATGTACTCCCTCCGTAAACTAATATAAGAGTGTTTAGATCAAACATTCTTATATTAGTTTACAGAGGAAGTACTTAATTTTAAAAAATAACATAATAGATGAATGTATGCGGGAGTTATACCTGTATTTACCACATTCTATCTGATGTCAAAGCTATTTGGTCCTTTCAGAGATTTAACAGGAAACCAGCTTAGTGGATCAATACCCCCTGAACTTCTTAAGAGGAAAGCAGATGGCTCTCTAAATCTAAGGTTAAGCCCTCACATCTCCATCTATTTATATTTCCATTTTCCTGGTCAAATAGGCTTATTGTTCTTGTATGTGATAGATATGGCAATAATCCAAAACTTTGCGACCAAGACAGCTCTTGCCAACCCACAGAAAAGAAGAACTCTACAATTACCATATATATTGCAGCTCTAGTAGTTGCTGCAGTGGTGATAGGATTACTGTTACTATTACTTCTTCTTGGGGTAAGAAAAAAGAAAGGTAAGACTCCATATCAATACAATGATGATTATTCTATTACATATATGTTGCTACTGCACAGAAATAATGATGGCATAATACTTGATTCATTCTCTCTTTATAAAGGATTAGTGAAAGGTCGTGTAAAGCCAGAGCATGTGGCGAGTGATGTGCAGTCACACTCCAAGAACAGCAATAGATATGGCCTGCTACAATTGGATAACCGTTGGTTCACATACTTGGAATTAGAGGTTATAACAAACAACTTCCAGCGAGTGATCGGCCGAGGAGGGTTTGGCATTGTCTACGATGGCTTCTTAGAGGACGGTACTAGGGTGGCTGTCAAGCTACGGTCTCAGTCTTCTGGTCAAGGTGTCGAAGAGTTCTTGACAGAGGTAAGAATTTATGAAGCATACTTAGCTAGGAAGATTCTCAGTTGATCATGAAACTATGTAATATGTTTCCTTCTTTCTCAGGCTCGGAACTTAACAAAGATCCATCACAAAAATCTTGTCTCCTTGATCGGCTACTGCAAGGATGGCGAGTATCTAGCCCTTGTGTATGAGCATATGTCAGAAGGAAACCTCCAAGATAAACTTAGAGGTACACTATTTTGTAAGAAAATCTGGAACTTCTGTGCTCGGATACACTACATATGTTTGACAACCTTCTTTAGGGGGAAATAGCAACATTGGATGCTTAACCTGGAAGCAGAGGCTCCGTATTACTCTGGAATCCGCTCAAGGTACACTTCTAATTCGGAATGTTTTTCTTGTCAGCTTGTTTCGGATCTATTTGTTTCGGTGGAAACTTATACATGTGTGTTTCTGTCTGGTTGTCAATCTGATATGCATGAAAGGCCTAGAGTATCTGCATAAGGCATGCAGCCCGCCCTTCCTACACCGAGATGTAAAGACATCAAATATTCTACTGGATGAAAATCTCAAGGCCAAAGTTGCTGACTTTGGCTTGTTGAAAGCTTTCAACAACGATGATGATACCCATGTATCCACAGCCAGGGTGGTCGGCACATATGGTTACCTTGCTCCTGAGTATATGCTATAACTATACCTTTTAGTTGCTTTATTGATCCATCCAAGTAAAATTATTGTGATGGACTATGAAACAAGTGCATCTCATATTGTACATACATATATGCAGGTACGCATCCGCCATGCAGCTAACTAAAAAGAGTGACGTGTACAGCTTCGGTGTGGTTCTACTTGAGGTGATCACAGGAAAGCCGCCCATACTACAAAGCCCAGAGCCAACTAATATCATCGAATGGGCAGGTCAACGCCTTGGGCAAGGAAACATAGAAGACGTGGTGGATATGTTCATGCATGGTGACTACGATGTTAACAGCGTGTGGAAGGCCGCAGACGTCGCGCTAAGATGCACTGCTCAAGTTCCTACGCAACGTCCCACGATGACTGCAGTGGTGGCTCACCTGGAAGAGTGTCTCGATCTTGAAGAGAGTCGTACCACCGGTGACATAAACAGCAACTTAAACAGCTGTAGTGGTGGCGAGTTCAACCCAAATTATAATAATTATGGTGTCGACCATCCCACTGATACAAGTCAGAGCAGCAGGACTGTCGACATGGGGCACAGCTTTGGTGGTGGGGTGGCCACCGGCCCTGCTACACTTTGAGGATTTTGTTGTCCGTCTGATCCAAATAAAGACCACCATTTTTTTCGTTTTAAAAGAACGAATATATTGCCTTCCGGCTCTGCATCGAAATTACTACACCATTCTTAGTTTCCAAATTATGTTTCTTGATGAAATGTCATACATTCCAGAACTCAAATTGAAAGTTATCATTGTAGAAGTCAATGCATTGTTTTGCATCCTGCACTAGCGCCGCCGTCAATGTATATACACAGAGTGTGCGACTTACTTCCTCAACAACAATGCCCACGGTTCGACTTCGTCGGCCCGCGCCCGCTAGGCTCCCGCTAGGGTTCCTCCCCGCCGCTGGCGGGCCCTAGGCCGCCGCCGCCGCCCGCCCCGCGCGGTGCCCCGCTCCCCCGCGCCCGCTTCCCCGCTCCCGTTCCCCCGCTTCCGCCGTCGCTCCGCTCCGCCCCTCCTCCCCCTTTCCCCTCCTCCTCATCCAGCTCCCTCCGCCGTCTCCCCGGGAGGCG